GGATACCGGGACACCGGGATCACCGGGCACGGCCCGGGGCACCGGGCAGCACCGGCATGGGATACCGGGACACCGGGATCACCGGGCACGGCCCGGGGCACCGGGCAGCACCGGCATGGGATACCGGGACACCGGGATCACCGGGCACGGCCCGGGACACCGGGCAGCACCGGCATGGGATACCGGGACACCGGGATCACCGGGCACGGCCCGGGACACCGGGTAGCACCAGCATGGGATACCGAGATCACCGGGCACGGCCCAGGGCACCGGGCAGCACCAGCATGGGATACCAGGGTCACCGGGAGAGCGGGCACGGCCCGAACCTCTGGGCAGCACCGGCATGGAACACCGGGCAGCACCGGCATGGGGGTACTGGTGACTGCCCTGCCTGCCCCTGCCCCGGTGCCACCTGCAGCAGCACAGAAGGGGAAGCAGTGGCAGGAGAGGGGGAACCTGGCCTGTCCCTGCTGCAGGCACAGCTCAGCCCGTGTGACATTCCCTTTGGAGGGACTGGGAGTGGAGCAGGAGCCCAAACTCCCTGGCAGCGCAGCTGCGGTTCCACCTGTGTTTGAGACCTGCATCTGGGCACGGGGAAGCCCTGGGCTGCTCCACTTCATTTGTTTTGCAACCCCTCCCTCCCTGGAAACCCCGCAGGGTTGAGGTCTTGTTTCATTTTCAGAGCCTTTTCCCTTCAGTCTCTTTGAGTTGCCCAGGATGAGGCATGAAAAGGGAAGCGAATATAGATGGGGAAATGGAATTTGTCAGAGCCCTTCCCGTCAGCACCTCGGCCGCCCAAGCAGAGGGATTGCACCCACAAGCACTGCTGGAAATGCCCTTCCTGGAGCACAGCACATGACCAACATCTGCCTGCTTGGCTGGTTGGCCTGGGAAGGACAGGGAGCCCTTTAACAGCTCAACTTTTTGGGGGGGATTTTTTGAGGGGTTATTGTGAAGTTTGGAGCTTCAATGCATGTCTCATTTCAAAGCTGAGCTCAGTGGAAACCCAGGGAATGGCCAAATGCTGAGCCCATGTGAAAAGTCTGGATTTTTCCGAGCTCACCAGAGCCCAGATTCCTGAAAATCTGGCCCCGAGAGGTGGCTGCGGCAGGAGGAGCCGGGAGGGCTGCAGCTTGCAGAGACTGCTGTGGCCTCTGCCAGCTCTGCCAGGCACAAAGCCCACTGCCAAGTCCAGCCTCTCTGAACAGCCAGGGATCAGGCTGTGCCTCGCAGGATCGCCCTCCAAAGATCCACTGCTCCAGCAGCTGATTTCCCTCTACCTTCAGGCACTGCCTTTTAATTAAATGCATCATGCTGCCAACTTAATCATTCCCCATCCCAAGCCCTTGAAGGGTGTTGGGAAGTGCAGAGCAATCATGCGTTTGGAGAGGGGGAAAAAATAAAATTCTTTTTATGGAGGTCCATTTCTTTAAGATTTGCTATGGCTCTGCTGGGGCTGGGCAGTAATTTGGGGGCAAAATGTCTACAGAGGCGTTTCCTCGACCTGACAGCCTCAGTTCTTCACCCTCCATGTCCCCCCGGTTCCCCTTTTGCTGCCACCGGGATTTTCGCTCGGTTGGGAGTTTTTTTTTCTGGCCATTTGCTGGCGAAAGCTGAAATGTCAGACCTGGGGCCAGTTCCCTTCGCTGATGCCCTTCCAGGCGTGTGGAGGCGGAGGTGAGGGAAGGGGCCAACTTTGGTGGGCGGGGGGATGTCTCATTTGTGATGTGAGTGGCATCTCCCTGGGCCTGGGTATCCGTGTCTCTGGAACGCGCATGTCCCCGGGCACCACGTTGTTTTCCAGCCCTGGCAGAGCCAAAGCTACAAATAACTGTTTCCCAGCAAAGCAAGGAATTGCGTGAAGGGCCACGCAGACGGGAAGCAGCACCCGTGGGCGCCCTCGGCGCCGCAGCTCCCGGGATGGGGATGCTCCAGCCAGTACCGACATTCCTCAGTTGCCCGTTCCCGGTGTTCGCGCCGGGCTCGGGCAGGCGCTGCTGCTCCGTGGCTTCGCTGGAAGCCGCCGCGATCTGGGCTCGGTGCCCCCTTTTAAAGCAAGCCCTGACCTAGATTTCCCTGCCCGTGCACAGCCACTGGGCTCTGCTCCCCCGCCGCTCCTCCTTGCGGCTGGAAGGGGCCCAGTGGAGCTTTCGGATCCGCTCTGGGCTCCTGCTCCATACACCAGCGGCACCCGCCCCGGCGGGAGCGGGGAGCGAGCCTGCGCCGGCTGATAGAGCCCTATCGCCCTTTTCCTGGCCCTCCGCGATTCCCAGGCGCTAACGGAGCATCCCCCGTGCAGGAGGGGCGGGCGGTGGGGATATCTCTGCTCTGCAGATGGGTGCCCAGATGCAGCGCTGATGGCCCACGGCCAGCCCGTTCCCCCTAGGACAGTGCCCCACCCCGTTCCCATTGGACCCCTGGCATGTCCCACCCCTCGGCCCTGGCCTGGGCTGACACGGGGGATGCAGCATCACCCTGGGGTGCAATGGGAAGAGAGCACAGCTAGATGGCCTTCATCAGAGTGTGTGTGCAGCAGAACCCTGTCTGTCCATCTATCTGTCCATTCATGCATCTATCTTTCTGTCCTGTCCATCCATCCATCCACTCATTTGTCCGTCCCTCCTTCCTTCCATCCGTCCATCCAAATCTCCCCATCAGAGTCAACCCCCACTGGTGGTTGTATCCCCAACCCTTCCTTGGGGAACTGCCACTGCTGCACTGCTGCACCAGCAGCTGCACGGGATAGCATTTACCTGGGCACTGGCAGAGCACACACTGAAGAGCACAAAGCAGCATTAAAAACCAGTGTGTGCACCAGCCCCCACCCACTCCTGCATCCCGGGAAACAAAGGCAGGAGTTAGGAGCTGGGAGCAGGGGATCCCCTGCTGCCCAAGCCCCCCTTGTGTGCCCCCAAAAAGCCCTTTTATACTTCAGGTGAGACAAATCCTCTTTCCCAGTCCCACAGGTGGGAGTGGGAGGTTCCTCTTTCCCCATCCACCACTGATGCTGTGGGGCATCACCCCCTGCCCCCCCCCCCCAGTGCTGCCTTCCGCTTTTCTCCAGACCCAAAATAGCCCCCAGATGCCGGTGGGGGGACGCCGGTGGTGACACTTCCTCTTTCTGAGACGCCACTGCGGCTGCTGGGGAAGGTACAGGGACTCCCGAGTGCGGATGAGCCGAGGGGACGTGGGCGCAGCTGCCAGGGCTGACACCAGGTGTGGGTCCAGAGCATCCCCTGCAGATGCCTGGCTCATTGCCATGACCACCCCAACATCCCCCACCCACCTTGCCATCCCCGTGCCGGTGTGGGGGCTTGGTGCAGTCACTCGGGCCACACGGCTGCATCCCATGGAGCAGCCTGGGCTGAGCTGGAGTTACAGCATCCCCTGGGGTTCCCCATACCCACCTTCCTACCCTGAACAGAAAACTCCACACACCCATGGGCTGCCCAAGGGGTTCCCGCCGAGGTCCCTCTCTTTCCTGGAAAGTATTGGTGATTCCCCAGCCAAAGGCTGGGCTTCCCTGCTGGCAGCTGGAGTCCCCCTGCTCCCACCCCAAAATGCCTTCAGGAGCCATGAGACCAATTCCAGCAGGAGCAAGTCAGACTCTTCTCCTTGAGGCCAGTTCTGGAGCTTCTCATCACACCCTTCTGCCTGGAAATGGGTCCCTAAATTTCTGCTTCATTATCCTGGCTCATTTGGCTGCTCTCAGCTCCAAAGCATCTCCTGGGGACACCCAGGCACACTGTGCCAGGTGCCTGCACTGAGCCACCGACTGTGGGGTTTCTCTCCAGTCCCCACCTCGTCACATCTTGTTTCCACCCTCGTCACGGGGAATTCCCCCAGCAGCAGCTGGGGTGAGGTTGCTCATCTCCACAGTTGCAGCAGAGCCCAGGGAGCCACCAGCACTGTGGGGAAGGAGGGATTGTCCCACTCCAGCACCCTGTGGCCCATGAACCCCATCCCTGTGGCCAAGAACTCTCCAGGGGGATGCAGGGGCATGTGGGGATGTGGGGTGGAGCTGCTTGTCCCAGGGCTTTCCACTCACTCCCCGGAATGATGTGCACACCCAGGAGCCTGCACTCCCATGGGGACACGTGCACTCATGGGGTCAAGGGACATGGGCAGCTGAAGGACCCAGTGGGTGACAGAGCCACGTCCCAAAACCGGGACCTTGAGCCCTACAGCCTGTCTGGGACACACTGGGATGCTTCCCGGGGACATGGGGTGCAACATCCACGCTACTGCCGCTGCGGCTGTGACCGGCTCTGGGCGTCAGCTGGCATTCCTGGGAGCCGGGGGAAGGATCCGTCCCTCCAGCCCTCCCTCGCACTCCGGAAACGGGCTGGGCAAAACCCCTCCTCCTCCTTCTGCCTGATTCCCGCTGCCCTGCCCAAGGCTGCTCCGGGACCTGCTTCCCACCCCGCTAACCCTGCCCTGGGATCCATCCAGCACCATCTGCCGCTTGGAAGAGCCCTGTTCCCTAAGCTGCTCTAATCCCCGAATCCTATCTGCGCCCCGCAGTCGGTGTGAGCTGCCGGCAACGAGCATCTCCCCGGCATCCGCAGCCCCCGCTCCCGCAGCCCACGGCCACGCTCTCTGCGGCTCTCCTGGCTTTTCCCTGCCCATGATCCTGGGGCTGGTTGGGCGTTGGGTAGGATCCGGCCCAGCCCAGTCCCTGCGCTGCGAGAAAATGGGAAATGCTGAGAGAAACGAGAAGAAAAGCAGTATGTGATGCCCGACACTGCTGCCTCCTGCCCTTCCCTGCCCTGGGAGCGGGGCGAGCTCTGAGCCAGGGCAGGAGGCTGGAGCGCAGGATGCAGCCTGGGATCGGGAGGCAGCAGAGGGGAGAGATCCCCGGGGATCGGGAGCTGGGGGTCAGCTGGCAGGAGAAGAAAGGGAGCGAGGGGCCAGGGAGAAGTGGGAGGGGAGATGTGGGGGGTGAGCCCGGGAGTGAAAGAGCCGAACGCGGGAGCAGAGAGACCCGGCGGCTCAGGAAGCCGGGACCGGAGGAGTGGGGGGTCGAGGGGGGGTCTCCCCCCGCTCACCCCGCCGAGGAAGCGCAGGGGAGAGCTTCCCGGAGGATGCAGGGCATGGGGGGAGAGGAAGCGCCGGAGACAGCTGCACAACATCTGGCAGCGGCGCGGCCCTCCGGGACCCCGAGGCAGCCGAGCACGGGGGGGCCGAGCCAGCGCGACGCTTCCTGCCACCCCCCCGCTGCCAGATGTGCACCCCGCTCCCCCAGGCCCTGCACCCTCTCCCTTCCTCCCCTCCGGGACGTGCCCAACACCTGCTTCCAGTTCAGTCCCAGTTTGCCGGCGCTCCCAGGACCCCGCGGTCCCCGT